TCTTGGAGGAATTTTCATATTGCTTTCCAATCTTCATACTGTACTAATTTGTAGTCCAATAGCGCATATGCACTCCTTTCTCTCTGCATCTATTATTTTTTGACCATTCTGATTCTTTCTCCCATTCTTAGGTTGTCTATTAGCTCTGTTGATTATTTCCTTTGTTATGCAGGTGCTCTTTTAATCCCACATATTTTTGTCATTGCTACATTTGCCTTTGGGGTCTTAATCATAAATTCTTTGCCTAGGTCAATGTCTAGAAGAGTTTTTCCAGTTTTCATCTAGAATTTCTGTGCCTTACATGTCATGCCTTACCTTTAGGTCTTTTATCCATCTTGAATTAATTTTTGTATATAGCAAGAGACATGGGTCTCCTTTCATTCTCCTGCATGTGGCTGTCCAGTTTTCTCAGTGCCATGTATTGAAAAGGGCTTCCTCTCCCTGGTGAATGCTGCTGTCTGTTCTGTTGAAAATCAGTTGGTTACAGGTGTATGGTTTCAATTCTGGGTTCTTTATTCTGTTCTGTTGGCTTTGTCTCTATTTAATACCAGTACCATGATGTTTTGGTAACTACAACATTGTAGTATAACTTGAAGTTAGGTAATGCAATACCTCCAGATTTGTAATTTTTGTTTATGATTATTTTGGCTACTCAGTCTCTGTTTTGTTTCCACATAAGGCATAGAATTATTTTTTCTAGATATGTGAAATACAACATTGGTATTTTGACAGGGATTGTGTTGACTCTGTAAATCATTTCTGGAAGTACAAACATGTCAACGATATCGATTCATTCAACCCATGAGCAGGAGATGGTTTTCTGTTTCTTTTATAATTATTTTATAGTTCTCCTGGTAGAGATCTTTCACCTCCTTGCTTAAGTATATTCCAAAGTATTTTATTTTCTTTTCAGCTATTGTAAATGGTATTGACTCTAAGCTTGTATAATATATAGAAATGGTATTGACTTTATATAGAAATAGTACTGACTTTGTGAACATGAATTTTGTAACCTGAGACTTTGCTAATTATACTCATCAATTCTAAGAGTGTTTCCTGGAGTCTTTAGAGTGTTCTGGATACAAAATCATATAATCAGCAAACAGGAATTGTTTGATCTCCACTTTCTCGCTTTAGATACTCTTTATTTCTTTTTCTTGTCTGATTGCTTCAGCCAGGACTTCCAGAATATGTGAACAGAAGTGGTAACAATGGGAACCCTTCTCTAAACAATAAAGAATAAAGCTGGATCACACACTTTCTAATTTCAAAACTTGCAATAAAGCTATAGTAAAAACAAAAACTAACAAAAGACCACAACTGTGTGTTTCTGGCATAAAAAAATATATAGAGAAACAAATGCATAGCATGTATGTTCATCATTTTTGATAAGAGGGCTAAGATGCAAATGATGTCAGGAAAACTGGATATTCAAATTCTAGAGAATAAAAATGGAACTTTACATAACTCCACAAATAGAAATTAACTCAAAATAGATAAAATATCTACAAGTAAGAACTAAAACTCAAAACTGGAAGAAGACCTGATGGAGGAAAGTCGTGACACTGGATTTCTGCTGATTTTTTTTAATAGGGCACAAAAGGTACAACAAAGAGAAATAAAAATACACAAATTGAATTTCATCAAAATGAAAAACCTTTGTGCATCAAAGCACACTATCAACAAAGTAAAAAGACAACCTACAAGTTGAGAGAAAAATATTCAAATCACTAACCTGATAAAGTATTAATATCCAAAAATGTATAAAGAATACTCTAAATGAACACTAAAAAAAAAAAACCCCAAACAACCCAATTCAAAAATAAACAAAGGATATAAGTAGACATTTCTCAAAAAAAGACATACAATGGTCAATAAACACATGAAAAGATGTTCAACATTACTAATCAATAGGGGAATGAAAATGAAAACTACAGGGAGATTCAACCTGAGATCCATTTGGATAGTTATCATCAAAACACAGAAAACAACAGGATTGGGATGGATCTGGAGAAATGGAACCTTAGAATGTAAAGCAGTATAAGTACTATGGAAAATGGTATGGTGGGTCATCAAAAAAATTAAACAAAAAATTGTCATTTCATCTAGAATTTCCCTTTCTAGGATATTCACAAAATAATTCAAAGTGGGGGCTCAAACAGATATTTGCCAACCCATACTTATGTCAATAGTTTTCATAAGAGCCAAAAGGTAGAAACAACCCAAGTGTTGATTATCGGGTAACTGGATTAATAATATGTGGCATATGCATAAAATGGAATGTCATTTGGCCTTAAGAAAATAAAATTATGATGCACCTTTCAACACTGATGAATCTTGAAGACATCATACTTTTGAAATAAACCAGACACAAAAGGCCAAATTTTATATGATCCACTTACATGAGTTACCCAGGATATCAATACACAGAGACAGAAAGTAGGACAGCTATTACCAGCAGCTAGGATGAGCGCGGCATGAGGAATACTGTTAAGTGTGTATAGATGTTCACTGTGGAGGTGGGAATTCTGAAAGTGGGCAGTGGTGACAGCTACTTCACAGTATGTACACACTCAATGCCACTGCACCGCATACTTAAAAATAGTCAAAATGGTAAATTTATATTGTACCACAATTTAAAAACTCAACTGACCATAAACGTGAGTCACTTTTTGGACTATCTGTAATTTTCCATAGATTCAATACCAGCATTTATGATATAACATGATATTTACTACTGAGTCTTCTAGTCATCTCTGAAATCAGGGAAGATAAGCCCTCAAATGTTATTTTTCTCATTCAAGATTGTTTTAACTACTGTAAAGCTGCAGTGCTTCCATAAAAATTTTAGATTCAACTTGTAGATATCTATAAAAATATTTTGAGTTTTCACAACTGCATTGGAATATTTGAGAGGGTGTAATAATTAATCAATACTTAGCTTTCAATTTAATCACATTCTGTTGATCTGTTTTCTCATTTCTTTTCATTTCCTTCATCACAATTTTGTGATGGGTAGAGGTCATGTACATCTTTTGTTAAATTTACTCCTGTGTTATTTATTTATTTTTTTGTTGTTGTTGCAGTTTGGCCAGGGCTGGGCTTGATCCTGCCACCCTCGGTATATGGGGCCAGTGCCACACTCACTGAGCCACAGGCACTGCCCTCCTGTGTTATCATTTTGATGTGTTGTGAATTGCATTTTATTTCATTTTTCTTGTTGCTTGTTGCTATTAGAGAAACAAAATCAACTTGGGATAGTGTCCTTACTCTAGCAACATTGTTAATTTATTTTTATGTTACTCTACTTTGGGTAGATTTCTCAGGATTTTCTCTGTATTCCATCATGAAATCTATAAATAAAGCAGTTTCACCTCTTCCTCTATAATTTTCATGTTGTTTCTATTGATTCTCAGAAGTTGTTGCCCCAGAGAGAATATCAAGAGCAATACTGAAGAGAAGAGAGCTGAGGTGTGGTTCTTGACTTGCTTTGAATCTTGAAGAGAATGTTGAATGTTAGCTGTCATGATCCTGACATGTGTTCATCAGACGCCTGTTACCAGATTGAGTAACTTACCTTCTTCCTTTTCATATTTATTGGAAGTGTTCCTTATAAATGGGTGCTGAATTTTCTCAATGTGTTTTTGCATTTCTTAACATTAGCTTAGGATGTCTCCTTAATTCTCTCTGAGTCCTTTCCAGCATTCTAAGCTTTATTCATATGTACAATTATGTATATTAACTATTTTGACTACAAAATTTATAGTTAAAGCATTACTTCACTGTTGAAGTCCTATATTTTACTGATTTTATTTTACTGATGGGACCTGTGTGATATATTTACTCTAGAGGGTTATATGATTCATACTTCTCTATTATTAACCAAAGGGAAGAAAGGGCAAGACCATGGGAACAATTTAATCAGCCTTGACATCCAGGCCCATGATTCAAGATGATTAAATGGTCTGTGACAAAAGAATAGTTAACAGTCTGCAAAATGTCCATTATCTTTTCTTAGCAAAGGCCTATTGATTTAGGGCCTTATGTGACTCCCATAGGGTGTTAGTGAGAAAGGATGTGAAAACTCAAGTTCAGCATTATTCAGCACTAACGAAACACTTCAAGGTAAGTGCGTTAATAGGTACAAATTAAATCTTCATGCTAAATAGCTGCAGATGTCTGGGGAAACTGGAGAGCAGACTGTTTGATGCTTTCCATAATTTTCTTTTGAGATCACATATGGCAACACTGTTAAGATGATGCCTTTAATGATATTACACAGTAAACAATAAATTCCAGAACCTGTTTTGTTTTATGATAATATGTTTTTGCTGAATAAAAATTGATCCCACCAAAGGAGGCCTCCCCCAGTGGCTCTGTTTTGGCACAGCACACACAGTAGTCAGTTTTGGTGATAATCTGTGGCTGGATTAGCAGCAGCACAGTGCATCCATGGGTTAGCATATTGGGGAGAAAACTCACTTAGGCAAAATTCTATTAAGGAAGTCACAGAATCATTCAGGCATCATCCCAGGGGAAAATCATTCACATGGAGCTCAGTGACGGGGGCTGCCTTAAGCCTCCTGCTTTGCTGATTCTGAAGGACAGCTCCCACCATGGCGTCACCTCCAAAAGTTCAAGGTGATGTAAGACAAGACCAGGTCAGGGGCCACTGCCATGCACAGTTCTCATTAGCCTTCTGTGTGAAAAGGCTGAATGCAGTGTGTTATGATCAGAAAACACCAGGGTCACACCCTTCACATAACGACATCTGGGAACCAAGCTGGGGATGGGCCCTAAATGTGTATATACTGTGGACCCAGGTAATGTCCTCATCTAGGAATCCTGCTTACTTAATAATGTGAACAAAAATTACACACAGGACCATTGGTTTTGTTCTGAAAATTAAACGAAAGCATATTAAGAGTTTTCTATGAATGTGAATTTTTATTAACAGAAGACAAAAGAAAGAAATTTCAACAGAAGGAATAGCTACTTACACCAGAATAGAAAGGCTCACCAGACACGCATATCACATCCTGCTCTTGGATCATCAGAATGTCTCTGGCTAGGTGCAGCCGCACTTTGAAAGGCTCCTGATTACCATCCTGCAGCAAACAAATCCCTGTCTTTGTCTTCAGACAAAAAGAAAAGCAAAAGAGAGGAAAAAAATATTTAGCTTATAGATTATAATTTCACAGCCTATTTACAGTAAAACATGATGAGTAACGTTTGAGAGCTGAAAACAACATATTCTGATGAGCCTGAAATTTAATACTTAACATAGGGGCAGAGAAAAAGAATAACCACTTCCAGGGAAGCAGACTTCCAGAGAACAGAGTCTATGTCCAAAAGTCCATGCTAAGATTCGGAAGGTAAATATTGTTGCCTATGTACTATATTTCAAGCATAATAACATCTTTTTTAATACTTAAAATCTAAATATAAAAAGCTAATAGCTTTATTGAGATATAATTCACATTATATAACTCAATCCTTTTAAGTGTATAATTCTCAAGTTTTAGTATATTTAGAGTTGTTCAACCCCGTCATGAACAAGTTTAGAAAAAAAAATTTTTTTTTTTTCAGTTTTTGGTTGGGGCTGGGTTTGAACCCGCCACCTCTGGCATATGGGGCCAGTGCCCTACTCCTTTGAGCCACAGGCACTGCCTAAGTTTAGAAAATTTTTTTCACTCTAAAAATGAACCATTTACGTCCCCCCCCATTTCTACATCCCTTCCTCTGCCACCCCAGCCTACACTAAACCCACTGTGTCCTCATTCTAGTTGCTAAAACATAAACACACACACATAGACATGAATACATGTACACACACGCATGAACACACACATGAGCACACACACAGGTGCCTGGGCACATACATACAAACTTAGTACCTAGGAGGAAATGGGGGCAAAGAGGCAAACTCTCTAAATTAACTCAGTCAGTTAAATACAGAATCTAGTTAAAGATCCAAGATTTCTGATTCCTAATCCAGCGATTTTGCTCCAGATATTTTTGGGAATTGTGAAAACGGACTATAAAAAATTTCTGAACTTGGCTCAGTGCCCATAGCTCAGTGAGTAAAGTGCTGGCCACATGCACAGAGGCTCAATGCAACCAAAATAATAGCCAGGCATTGTGGCGGGCGCCTATAGTCCCAGCTAGTCAGGAAGCTGAGACAAGAGAATTGCTTAAGCCCAAGAGTTTGAGGTTGCTGTGAGCTATGATGCCACAGCACCCTACTCAGGGTGACTCAAAATAATAATAATAATTTCTGAACTTGTACTACATAACTTTAAACGGGCATCTTGTCACTGAAGTCCACAAGTGTTGTCACTCTCAAAGCATATTGGTATCATGGTATGTATTCAGATAAGTATGAATATCCTCCCTAGAAAGTGCACTTAACATTTCCATTTGTCACAGGTAGAAAAGGAAATATTCTTTGATGTTTAACAGGCATCCTCTAACTACGGCCCGTGGGCCACATGTGGCCTGCCTAGGACATTTATCCGGCCTGCCGGGTGTTTTTGCCGCCACTGCCTGTCCTGCTTAGCAGCCAACTCGTCCCAGGGCCCACAGCCTGGCTCTCCAATGGTCTGAGGGACAGTGAACTGGAGCCCTGTTTAAAAAGTTTGAGGACCCTTGATGTATAATATAGTCTTTGGCTCTTATTCTGTGCCAAAAAGTTAATAGGAATAATGACCACTTTGGTCATTATTTGACCATTTTTGTTACTTGATAATTATTGAGCCATTCTTATCTTAATGGACAAATACATATGTGCAACCTCTGTAAATTGACCACCCAAGGGACTGTAACAAACTTGTCAACATAGGGAGATGGTCAACATAAGGAACTAGGCCTACCATATTGATATGTACATGTGGTGCATGTCCACTCTATGAAACTAAGGTCAAATTAAGGAGGTGGTCAGTAGAGGTTGGTGGTCAGCTATGGAGGGTCTCCTGTATTTATCTTTACTGTTTATTTATTTATTTAAATTGATGTATAGTAATTTACATAATCATGGAGTACAATGTGATATTGTCATGCACGTATACATTGTGTAAGGACGGAATTGTGGTAATAGTGTATTCATTTCTTGTTGTGGGAACATTCAAACTCTTCTAGCTATTTTTGATAGGCAGTGCACTACTGCCAGCTACAAGGATCCTACCATGTAATGGAACACCAGAACGTCTTCCCACCTAGCTGCAACACTGTACCTGTCAACCACCCTCTCCCAACCTCCCCTCCCACCATTCTCCTCTGGGTCTGGAAAGCACTCTTCTACTCTCAACTTCTACACCACTGACCATCAACAAAATGCAGAGATAGCATCTGACTGCAGTGAGAATGGCTGTTATTGGAAAGGCAAAGGATAACAAACACTAGAGAGCACAGGGAGAAAGGAGATTGCTCACACGCTGTTGGTGGGAATGTAAATTACATAATCATGGTGGAAAACAGAATGGAGATTCCTCAAAAAAGTAAAACTTGATCTGTCCTATGATCCAGCAACCCTATTTCTGGATATGTATCTAAAAGAAATGAAAGATTGAAATGAAAGCATGTTGAAGAGACATCTGCACTCCCATTTTATTGTAGCACTGTTCATTCTAGCCAAGGTATGGAATCAACCTAAATGCCCATCCATGGACAAATGAATACAGAACAGTAATACAGAAATTGTAGTATACACATACACAGATACACAATGGAACACTATTCATCCATAATAAAGAACGAAACCCTGTCATTTGCAAAAACACCAATCAGCCTGGAAAACATCTTGGTAAGTAAAATAAGCCACTCACAGAAAGACAGGTACCACGTGATCTCACTCATATGTGCAATGTCTTCTTAATATTTAAAGAAGATAATATCCCAGGAAGAATGCCAGACTTCTTCTTGAATATACTTTTCCATGGGGATTGCTAATAATTTATTACTTGTAAAGAAAATGTCATAATGTTGATGGGAATATATTGATATGCATACTTCAGCCTCCAAAGATAATTCTGTTTTATCCCATGTAGGAAGGAATCCATACGTTTTGCCCTCTATCACATACAATATCACACAGTTAGTCTAAGATTTATAAAAGTTTTGTTTTTTTTAGGAAAAGCAGAAACTTTTTTAGTAGTAGTGTTTTTTCCTCAGCTGTGGCAGTAACACACAGCAGGTGCTCATTAAATCATGTTGATTAATCTATTCTAGAGTAAATTCCCCAGGATATGTCTCAAGGACAAAAAATCTTTCAGCACAAGCAGATTATACTTTCCTTTATATAGAACATAATTTTTCTATGCTTTCACACAGAGAACTGTCTGCTGCTTGCAATGTGATCCTGGCCAGGGGCCAACAGAGAGACACTCTAAGAGGCAGGAAGAGGAAAGGGAATATGAAATAACACATCAAAGCAGAGTGACCATAATTGGACACATTTGCTGATTTTTCAATGTACAGTACATTCCGGGCCAATTTTTCCCCCAGAAGTGTAACGGAATAGCTGGTAATCACAAATAATACTCTGTTTCAACTTCAGGATGAGAGCGAGTTCTCCCCCGAGAGCGGGGGAATGTGTTATTGTCACACATCAAAGAGTTATAAAAGATCAACAGGGAAAGTTTGAGGAACTAAAACACAGCTATGAGAGTTTTCTCATCATGCTTCTGATGCAGCCAAAGCTAGCATCCACTCAAGTAATGTGTAAAATGTCCTCTAATTACGGAATAGTTGTCTGGAAAACAGAATATAGGCTTTGAGCTCACTTTTGCATCCTGAGAGGATAAATAAGAGTCACAGAAAATAAAGACTGAAGAGAACTTTGTTAGAATGAAACACACACACACACACACACACACACACAGCCCTCAATAAATAGCTGGTGAGAGAGAACAGCAGAGAACTAAGGACAAATTAAAGTAAAAATGTCTTCTCCAGGAGTTAGAGAAATTATATATATTCTACTATGAAAATTCAACTGGTGCACATGAAAATACATTTAAAATCCCATACATTCATTAATTTTGCAAAAATTGTGTGATAGTCACAGAGGATGTGTCAGGACCCAGGCCGGAGTTCCTGACCTCAGAGTCTGCGCTCACTGAGACAGCGCAAGGAGGTGAGACGCAGGTCACAGCTGCAGCAGGAGGGAATCAGGGGATCTCGGCCACTAGGGAGGGGTGCAAGGGAGGATCCAGAGAGAGAAAAGACGGTCCGGTTGTCTTAAAAATAAATGAGGAAATGGTGAGTAGAAGAGCAAGAGTTGTTTTAATCAAGAAGGAAAAACTGAGTGAACTGGTGGAAACATGAAAGCAGGTAAGACCATGAGGTGGCGCGGGCCATGGGGAGTGGGTGCAGAGGATGGGTGAGACCCTGGGGTGTCCCAGGGTGACTGAGCGGGGATTCCTAGAGAAATGGGGGCAAAGAGATGACGTGTTCACTCTGTGCTTTCTAAATTTATTCATCGTAGTAGCATAGAAGATGAACAGGAAATGGGAGAGTTGAAACACAGCCATTGCAGATACTGTTGACGGGAAGATGGACAAGACTATTTCGGGGCGCTTCGCCAGGGAGGGGCAGCATCCCCACACTGGGGTCATCCCTAATGATACATAGTCACGTCTTTCATTTATCTGTTGTTTAATAACTACTTTTATAGTGTTCACCGTGTGCCATGAAATAAGAATCCATCTTTCTCCCCTAACAGCCCAGTGTACCCACTTTCACAGACAGAGCAGGTGCATGCAGCCCAAAGCAAACCCAGGAGCAGCCCAGCAGCTTCTGTGCCCCTAAACCTGGGCGTCTGTCCTGCAGAGCTGTCAGGAAGCTGGCCTGTGGGCCTCAGTGCAGGAACAGGTCACTGGCATCCTTCACCTGATAGCATTTTGGTCATCAAATATCCTAACAGTGAGGGAAAAATTCTCAACAGGACACCATCACCTGAAACCAGTTCCTTCTCCTGTACCAAACCAATGGCAACTGGATGGAGAACAATGAGTAAAGACCACCATGTTGCTTATAGAAGTTTTCCCCCAAAGCTGTGCTAAAAGAGGGCACAGGAGACTAATGGGGGAGAGGCTTGAGCTCCATGTCTTCACGGGGTGCTTCAGAGAATAAAAAAGGGAAACGGGATCTGAGAATGGCTGTTGGTACCATATAAGCTATAGCAGCCCCACCTGCAAGGTCTCTACAGATCTGTGTACCCAAACTGTTTAAAAATTAAAAATTGACTAAATAATCATAGCCCCAAATTTTAGTATAAACTTAACACATGAACTCAGTTTTCTTTTTCTTTATTAATGTAGCAATCACTTGTCTCCAAACTTTGATAACTCTGCATGCATGGCACAGACACGAAGAAATGTATGTGATATGTTTGTGTGTGTGTGTATGTATGTACTACACAAATTTATCATGTACATTGTAAAAATACATAAAATATTACTTAAAGGGATGATTCATAAACATGATCCAGGTCCAGTATTACTTCCCTATGTCTGATGCATCATCCTTGACAACAGGTAGAATTTTCAAAATCTATATTTGAGACTATTTGCTTAAAGAATTATTAAAGGGTAATGTTTCTTAATTTGCTTAAAAGGTGATACTTTTAAACTCCTATCTTTGGTTATGCTTTCTGCAAATCAATTAAATGTGGTTATAAATTTGCAGAGATTTATTCTTGGTTATCTAAACAAGCCTCATATTTAAACTTACTAGGAATTTACACCTGTTTAAACTTTGGATCTAATTTGGAACCTTAAAAAGTTAGATATCATCCTTTTCCTCCTCAAAAGGTAAGATATTTCTAAATTTATGTTCTAGTCTTTCAAAGAATATAAAATACATTTTTATGAAACTTTTATACTATGTTGTTTGAATTTTGAAATGTAGAATTCACGATACCAGATGTAAGAAACTACAAACTACAAGGAACCAGGCAGAGACCATGATATAAAGTGCAAATACTCGTGCAGATATTCTCGGGATTTCTATATTTTGAGTGAAAAATAAAATTTAATTTGTTTTCTAAACCTCTAGTTTTAAGTAATATATTATGCTGTTTCCCCCAGTGTGGCAGTGGTGTGTGAAGGTCCTCTGAGGCATGGTGCTTCTCTCCCAGGATTGCCTCTCATCATGGCCTTTCCCTTACCAAATTCTGGCCAGTTCTCACGCCCTAGTACAAGTCTCTCTTTTCTTGACACCATCTGAGACCACTCCATTCAAAAAGGAGTCCTCACTTGGAAGAACTCAGTGCTTTTTTATTATTTTATTTTACTATTTTTATTTTATTTTATTTTATTTTATTTTATTTTATTTTATTTTATTTTTTTGAGACAGAGTTTCACTTTGTGGCCCTGGATAGAGTGCCATGGCATCATAGCTCATAGCAACCTCAAACTCTTGGGCTCAAGTGATCCTCTTGCCTCAGCCTCCTGAGTAGCTGTGACTACAGATGCCCACCACTATACCTGGCTACTTTTTCAACTTTTAGTAGAGATGGGATCCCCCTCTTGCTCAGGCTGATCTCAAACTCCTGAGTTCAAACAATTCACCTACCTTGGCCTCCCAGAGTGCTAGGATTATAGGTCTGAGCCACCATGCCCAAGACTAAGGTACTTTTTAAAATACATATTCACCCCCAAATTGATCAGTATTATATATTGGAAAACCTGTAGTATTCTACATCACATTATTTAAATTCCTCTTATATAGTGGTGTCTCAAGAAGATTTTAATAATAATAGGTTATTATACTTTTCATTATTAAGGATTACAAACCCATAAGAGCTGGTAGAGTAATGGCTCACAGTGGGGCTTCTTTCAACATTTGTTGGTTGGATCTTAGTCACAGATTATATTTCAGTATAAGAAAAACTAAACTAAATTCCATCATTTGTATAATTTATTCAATTATTGATATTTTTATAAAGAAATATGCATTTTCATTGTCAACACATCATATTTTAAGGAATATAGATGTGAAAATGAAGTATGTAGGAAAAGCTGGACTAACAAAGCAGACTGGATTATTTAAACATATAGATTTATTTTGACAACACTTTTAAAGCAGAACTAATCAGTAATTATATCCGAGGACATGTACACTTTTTCTTCTAAAGTATATATTTTGCACTTTTCCCAACTGCATTTTCTGAAAGTCTCCACCCAATTTTCACTTCTTCCTAGATTTCTAAGTACCAACTCCTTAAAAGAATTGCAACATTTTATTTTTAATAGCAGAAATTTCTTAATAAATAAATCTCTCTTTCAAAAAAGGATCTGTATTAGATTCTTAAGGTGCTTTCAAATGGAAATTATCTGGACAAGCTTCTTTTATTTCTTTAAAAAGAAGAAACTTCCTGACAGCCGCACTTAGCAATAGTAAAGCATTCTACCTTGATCTGACAGCCGTGAATATCAAATTTTCATCTTTTCCTTATTAACAGTCATGAGAAAACATGTTTTATATCTTTGACTACAATACAAGTTCCAGCAATTCAGGACCTTGGGAAGAAGTTTAAATTAAGAATCAGGAGTTCCACAAAGGCAAGATGGCTGACTGGAGCCAGCTTTCCTCAGAGGCTCCCATCCAGAGGAGAGTTAAAGGACAGAAGTTTAGCAAGTAAGCTAATGGTTTGGAGCTGAGCCAAGAGAGAAGGCTGAAGAACACACATCAACCCTGCTGAGGCAAGCTACAACCCCAAGGATACAATAGGTACAAAATCCATTATCAAGCAGATGTGAGTCTCCTCCCCCAAAAGTACAGCTCGCAGTATACTTTCTACAAATAAGCAAGCAGAGTTCAAACATTCTCCCATTTCATCCCATGGGAGAGTCCCTCTCAAGATCGGACCTCCTTCCCCTAGTAGGGTGCCATGGCACTCTCCTGCCAGGCGCAAAACTATGTGAAACTATTTCTATACCTGCAATTCTGAACTCCCAGCACTCCCCTCCACTCTCACCCCGAGGTCTGGAAGCCTTTTGCCCATGGACTCCAGATTCTTGGGCATTTTCTTGAGGGGCATGGACTGCTGCAGGTCTGTGCTGATTCTGCAGCAAGGAGGTAAGGAGGAGACAGTGTACTGAAGGAACCAGACAGGAGAGGGAGAGATGGTGCCCTGTGGCACAGAGCAGCAGTGGCAACAGTGAGAACAATAGGACTCACACGCCTGGGGATATTTTGGAGAGACACATCTGTCTCTCTAGGAAACCAGAGAAAGCCAGGCATCTTCTCTGGTGGCAAACACTAGTGGAACAAATATGAAATGGTAATGCAGGCCCTGTGAGCAAAGGGTATGTCTGAAGCAGTACCTGCCTATGTGGGGTGCAGCAGGGACAGAGAATAGAAGACTCATGTGCAGAGATGGCATAATCCCAGGGTGGGTCTGAGTCAGGACTGTTTTAGTGAACCTAAGAAGCACCCAGAACTCAGGAGATCATAGCTAAGACAAAAACAGGTGGGAAGAGGCTGGAACTGAGAGGTCAGTGTGAGCTCTAATTGCACCCACCCCAACACAGACTGCAATGTAGACAGACACACCAGCTCTGGGGACAGACACAGGTAGGAACAGATATGAGATGGTAATGCAGGCCCCATGAGCAGAGGGTATGTCTGAAGCAATACCTGCCTAGGTGGGGTACAGCAGGGACAGAGAATAGAAGACTCATGTACAGAGATGGCATAATCCCAGGGTGGGTCTGAGTCAGGAATGTTTTAGTGAACCTAAGAAGCACCTGGAACTCAAGGGATCATAGCTGAGACAAAAACAGGTGGAAGGAGGCTGGAACTGAGAGGTCAATGTGAGCTCTAATTGCACCCACCCCAACACAGACTGCAAAGTAAACAGACACACTCAGCACAGACCAGGGCTGAGTCACAGTTTCTGTGAACTCAAACAGTGCCTTGTCCACAGGGGAACATAGCCAGGAAAAAAAATCACAAATTCTGTGAAAATAGCAGTGTCAGCAAGATCAATCAGGGATGGAGCTGAAACTGAACCTCCTCAGCTTCCATTAACCACCTGATGTTGTTAGGCTTCAGCTTCCCCTGCTAGGTGGTGGCAGAGTATGGAGGCCTGGCTGAGGAGACATATCTCCCTGTGACTCAGGCAGGTGCAAACCCCTTGAGCATCTGCTCATTGGAGGGAACTGGGTCACAGCCCTGCGGAATTACCAGTGACTGGGTGTGACAGAGGTGCAAAGTGGGGAAGGAGGCATCAACCTTTCAAGACTAATTCATTTGCTGGGGGGGGGGTCATTCTGACTCCACGAAGAACCAGAACGAGTCATACTTGAGCTCCCAGCAGACTCCTACTATCTAGTCGGAGACTTTTTGAACTCTCCCACTTGAGACTGGGTGCTGACTGGGACAATTGATTTGGATCTCTCAGACTGTACCTATCACCCGAGGACTATCCAAAGTGGTACTCTGGGTGTGTGATTGTGGGAAGGTTTGATTTTCTTTATCTAGTTGTTGTCTGTGGGAGGCAGGGTACTTAACTGCTGGTATTTCTCCACAGCTGAGACTTCAACCCAGAGTAACTGATTCACTAGGGTAAGCCAGAGACCAGCTGAAAACAAGACAGAGCCACTTAGCTCCACCACACCAATCAAGTCCCCAGTGTCTCAGGCTGTAGCATGGTATGGGTCCTTTGCAAAGCTCTAGGGAAAAAAGGTATAGATACCAGTCCCAGCTTGGGGGCAAAGGGCTGGTTAATCACTACTCCAAGAGCCCCCCAACCCAACTTCACCTTATCTGCTTATCTAGCCAAACAGTTTAAAATAATCATGGACCAATAATGGTGGAAAAATTCTGGTAACATGAATAACCAGAGTAGATCAACTCCTCCAAGGAACGATATGGTGGACACAACTAAAGATTTCATTCATAAACAAATGCCTGAGATGTCAGAAATCAAATTCAGAATTTGGATTTCAAATAAGATTAATAGAATGGAGGTAAAATTGGAATTAGAAATTCAAGGAGCATTTCAAAAGTTGTCTCAAGAATTCAAAGACAAAAGTACCAAAGATATTGACATATTGAGACAAGAATCTGCGGCCCTCAAAGATCTGAGAAATACAATAGAATCCCTCAGTAACATAATGAAACAAGCAGAAGAAAGGATTTCTGACATTGAAGAAGAAGCTTTTGAACTCTCCCAAATGCTAAAAGAGGAAGAGAAATGGAGAGCAAAAATGGATCATTCACTCAGAGAGCTCTGGGATAATTAGAAGAAAACTAACATTTGCCTTATAGGAATCCCTGAAGGTGATGAAGTTGCTTCTCAAAGCACAGAGGCTCTTCTT